TAATTTTAAACGAATTCAGTTTCCAGTGAGCCTATGTTTCGCCATGACAATTAATAAAGCTCAAGGTCAGACTCTAAAAGTTGTGGGTATAGATCTAAGTATCAGCTGTTTTTCGCACGGTCAATTGTATGTGGCTCTGTCCCGTGTTAGCAATCCCAGCAGCCTGTATGCTTTCACCCCCGATGGCCATACGTCTAATATTGTATATAGAGAAGCATTACAGTAAAGTAGGTTTTTTAGCTACCCAAAATGACTGTGATTATGATCCAAATCTAAAATAAAAATAAGTATATATTTAAAAAAAAAACGCTGCTCATAGTCACTATTCTACGCGAACGAAGTCGCGGGCACAGCTAGTATTTTAATAAAGAGAAAAAAGGTAATTTATGCTATTTAAAAAATTAGGCCTTTTTAAATGATCTGTACGATTTTGTAAAATTTATATTTAGATTACGTCATGTTTTTACTGCAAATGAAAGATTTATTACTCGTAGAATAATAGAAATTCAATCTAGACGCTTTCTGCCTAGTGCGTAATAAAATTGTAAACAGCTTATGAATAATTTTGTTTAAAACTTGTGGCACCGACTTCTAACCTATCAGTGGGTGTGTAAGCTATAATACTTAGTTATTTTTTCCTTTTTTTAGTTTTTATTATAAAAAATCAATTATTTTGTCCCAATTTTGTTCTGTTTTTTTGCTGTATTTGTATAGAAAATTAGTTGCTTTATTATTTTTAAACCATAAAACTGCAAGTCCCTATACCGACAGAGACGTAGTAGATGAAAGGATTATTAAAACAGAAATAAACTTGTGGCAAGTTTTTTGTTATTTTAGTAAAACATTTTTTTTAAAGTCCACGACGCGTGTTCTGCTCATGATTGATAAAATGCTTTCGTTGCCTATAGCAAGCCGGTTCCGATAGCTTACCCTTTTCAGGTATGATTGGACTTGTGCTGGATAAGGCTACACTTGATATTGTCTCGTTTTGGGCGAAGCGAGAGGGAGTGTCAGACCCTGATTCTTACTGACTATAAACCACGCCGATCTTATTCATCCCAGCAATGCGTTAAATCTTCCGCGGCTCCTTATTAAGCTTTAGCCCTACTAGGCTCCATCTGTGATGTACTGATGAGTGATGACTTTGAGACGTGCCATATGCTCGGGTCTAGTTCTGGTTACCATACACCATGTCCATAACATTTAATGTATTAAAAATGCTTAAGTTTGCTATGCTTGAAATGTGTGTGATACGAGTAGTATCAGTATGCGATACAACATAATGCTGTGTTTTGATGATAGACTATACAAGTGCGGATAGACAGCGCGCGCCATTGTCGCCGGAATGATAGACTCGTCCGCCGACAAAATTAAAAAAAAAAACAAATATTGTGCAACAAGTAATAATCTACCTAGGTGTTATGGTATGTACATTATGTACTTACTATGTAGTGACGTAGTGAGGTTCAGCGACTAGAGCCTACCTAAATATATAACTATACATGACATTCTTTTGTGTTTGACGCGCCTTTTTATTGAATGTATTTGGTACCTATAGTATAGTATACACAGACATAGATCTACTGTCTGTGATAGTATAGTGTTTACAAGTAACTATTAGTTAAAGTAAATAATTAGTCAAATCGGACCGTAAGCCTCGATACCGTTAGTCAGGATAAAAGTTAGCGTACTTATGTTAGGTACGAGCTGAAATTTTAAGATTCAAGTATAGCATTTATAGGGTTGAAATCGACTAATTGCCCTTATGCAGGTAGTAATAATAAAGCGTCTTTGTTACAAAGTTTCCACTTTATGTTTATTGAGAACATTACTTGTGTGACTACTAGATGGTTTTCTACTTCAGGATGAGGAACCATTCAACCTGTAACTAGTGGGAGCAGTAAATCTCAAGCAAGCTTGCATACTTATCACTGGTTCGGTATGGAGATGGTGATAATTAGTAAACACAAATATATGTGTCCCAGTATGCGGCTAAGTCCGCGTGGCGGCGCTCCAGGTATCGATCGGTTGCACCGGCTCACAAAGGGCCGCGCCGCCGCCCGCCGCCGCGCGTCGCCCTGCGCTCCCCGAGCCGCGTCGCTAACGCCGCGCGCCGCGCCGCCGGCTGCCGGCCGGCTGTCCTCCTTGTTTACAAAGTTTGTCGATGCAAGTCTCTAGTTTCTAGTATTTCTACTGCCGGCGTCAGTAGTCAGTATAGAGGTAGATCAGTTTTAACTCGTCGAGTACCGTCATTAATTCATTATAGAACAATAGGTTGCGGTCACCGGTGACCGCTTGGTGTTTGACAGTTAAATCAAGTAGTCAGTGTCGTCATCATAAAATCTATCGCTGGGCTGACCGGCCGGGGTGGCGGCCTAAAAATGAAAAAGTATTACAGACTTCAACAAATACTTCAATACATAAATTCAATAAATAGTTTTGTTTTGTCATAATATCAAAAACTTTTTTATAAATTTGATGGGGTCGACGTTTGGCCACTATCTCGCCTGGTGGTAAGCGATACTGCGGCCTACGATGGAGTATGTCTGCCCATAAACAACCCAGTCACTCGGGCCTTGAAGACATCCTCCAGGACACACAGACTCTAGATAAGATTTTCACTCTTCAGCAGTACTAACAAGGATGCTTGATGCGAACTACACGTTTCTATGCATTTTCGTCACAAAATTTTCTTGTTTTCTATATAATTATATGTAGTCTCTTCCGAAGTCAAGGGTTCATGAAAAGCTTTTATTGTAAATATTGTAATCAATCGGGGTCTGTGTTGTCGCGAGAGTGCTCGTATGGGACTGAGAGCACTAGACGCGGAGAGCGCGGTCGCCCCTCAGCGGGTAAATATTCAGCTCTTGGCCTCTTGTAATGATATCTCGATATAATGAGCTGCTCGGGCGGCCGCAACCGCCACCGCCGCCCACCCTCGTCATAGGTCCAACAAGTGGCACTTGACTTACTTCTTTAGATTTGGTTTAGGAAAACAGAACTGCACAATTCTGTGACAGAACGGTTATTTTATACGGTTATGTCATGTTTGTTAAGCATACGTTACTTCCACAAGTCGTGTGCCCATACCCATGATTAGTATTACAAATATTATAGAGGGCGGCAACTTACTTGTTTATTTGTACCTATATGATTGGGCTCAATAAAGTAGTTTTCTTACCTCGTCAATGCGTTATGTTTATGTATCAACCTACCACAATTAAATTTTATACAAATTATAATAGAACATTAAAATTGACATAAATGTAGGTCTTTTTTTTAAGAGGGGAAAATCATCGAATAACTGCTCCCGCCTAGGTGAGGCGGGAGGGAGTGTCAGACTCTTACTGACTGAAAAACACCCCGTTCCTTCTCCTGCACGTCGAGCCAGAGCCCCGGTTTTCCGTTAGGTTCTCCACGACATATGTAGGTCTAGGTAGTTATGAAGGAAATTGAATTCCTATCTACATAGGTACTAAGTAATTTTAATCGGTCGCTTCACTGGGGTTTCTAATGTGGGAATAAAGTATTAGCGTATGAAATTCTTGAGTAGACCAGTAATTATATTTGGCAGTGGAACGTAATACTGCCGTGGAAACATTGGCTGTCGAGGTCGCCGCTGATATTCTTTACTTATGAAACGCAAATAAATTACTGGTCAGTGGTCACAGCACAGCCAGTGCACGTGCGCTTCGTCTGGGTGTGCTTCATTTGGATGCACTTCGTGGAATACCTCACGGCTACGGATTATGTTTGGCGAGCAGTTAGGGCGGGCAGCAGAGCGAGGCGCATGCGCACGGCCAAGGTCCTTACATCATACATACGCACGCACCGTAACATGAAAATGTGCTGTTATTAGCCTTTGTCTAATGCGATATCTAGGTTAACAAATACATACTACATAAATACAAAAACAATACTTTCCCTTATTTTAACTTGCGTGACAATCACAGTTGCTTATTGTGGGTTATTGTATCAGTAATCAGTTACATGTAGGTACATAGCTGTGTACCATTGTTCATCTTAACCAATATCTACCTTCGTGTTTTGAAATATATTACCTAATGTAAAATATAATGTTTAAAAGAGTTGTTTATCATTGTGAAATATAAAAAAAATGCTACTCCTGCGCCGTTTCATCCGTTGTTCGACTCCTATTGATCTAAGTATGATGTTTTATAACATTCCTTGATAAATGGGGCTTATCCAACATAAGTAATTATTTAATTTAGAAAAATCTTTCTGATACCGTGTGTATGTGTGTGTGTTCAGTTCTAAGTTGGTTGTAGCACTGACAAGGGGGAGACGTAGTAACGGATAGTTGTATAAGAGGAAGTATGTTGACCCTGTGCCGGAGGCTGGGCCAGCGCAGGCGCAGCGGCGCGCGGACAAGATCACTGCACTCACGGTGACACGCACGCCGCGTGCCCGCGCGCTGTGACCATGTCACTCCGCAGCGGAACTAATGCCACCTCTTACAACTCGTACACTTATGAACTCGACTCACTATTACACTCCTTAATTACTTTACACACACTAATACCAGCATTCATTTTATTTATTTTGTCGCAAAACATTCGTTTAAAGTAGGACAAGTCGCAGAGTTTGATTAAACTGATCGTAACAGTACATTCATAACCAGACTAATAAATTGGTCTAACTAAACGGGTCATCATCGTATTCATACGTGTACGAACTTATTTTAAGCCTTACTACTCTTAGAATAAGTTTTGAGTTTGACCAGTCCAATCGTTTAAGGGCTATGTAATGATTCTGGAGCTTGATTAGATGCAATTGAAGAATGAATGTTACACTGGCCAGTTGGGGATACTTAATATTAATTATTGTGTATAATAAAATGCTATGACTTTTTGGGTTCCTACCTAGTAGATGTTATAGGTTCCAATCCAACGATTTTAATAGAGTATTAATAACATCAATTCAATAATTTCGGCTGTAAGTGGTCTGTTCGTGTGATGGTGAGTGTTGGTGTGTTGCAGGCATAGTGTCGGTGTCGGACGGGCACCTGTACGTGGCGCCGCTGAAGGACGAGTGGCGCACGCTGCTGGCGCACTACGCGGGCCCGGTCGCCTTCATCGTCGTCGCGGTGCTGCTCATCGTCATTCTGCCGCTGACCGGGTACTGTATCCCAGCAGTGACTGCCGCCGCGCGCTGTGAGTGTCGCTGAGCCAGCCTTGTGGTGTTGCAGACTGTTCTGGTGCTGCTGCTACTGGTGCCGCGCGAGACGACGGCGGCGCCCGTTCGACCGCAAGTACGACGCCTGCCTCAAGGGAGTGCTCGCCATCATACTCATCGCATTGCTGACGCTCTTCTTGTAAGACTTCATGATAATGTATTTAATTTAATATTGCTGTACACGTGTACTGCTCCTCTCGGGTTAACGGGCACTGTTAGGACCAATCTAGAAATTCAAATGTTTTGTCTCCTGTCTGACAGAAATCACACTAAGTACCCGAACACAATACAAGATACTGGTTGAAACGTGATTCCCGAGCAATAAGGTCTGGTCTAGGGAAAAACTGTATAAAAATAAAACTGTAAGTAAGTGTAAATGGCAACAATCTCCTAATTTCAAGGTAACATTCAAACATTTAAGTGAAGTGTTGCCTTGAAGGAGCTAGGTTTTAACATAAATGATACCACATGCCACAACGTACGCAATTTGAAGCAAACTGCTACGTTTACTTGTCATATTATATTTGTGATGCGATCGTAACATTCACATAACATTTATGTGTGTGACACGTGGACGTGGACCATGACACTGTTGAATTTATTTCCATGTTCTCAACTCTCGCAAAGTTCCGATTGCATTTAACCAGGGACTGAAAGCGGTTAAGGTATAACGGTACGGTACCGGTATAAAATAAGTGTACCGAAATTAAAGCTATACCGGTATTTAACCTTTATGCGATAACGGTACCGAAAAACTTAGATTTGACCGTTGCGAGACGTAAAGCTAGGAGTGTGCGGGGTGTGGTGCGAGGGGCCCCACTCCGAGGCGTGGAGCAGCGGCAAGCGAAAAACGCGCGCCTGTGTACCTGTTTATTCGTGTCACTGCTGCAACTAAACTACGCTACCGTTGTATGATTTGTGTGTACCGTACCTATCTAATAACTATATAATAGTCGTGTAACTATTAACTATGAGGCGGAAACGTAAAAATGCAGTATATGGATTGAGATATAAGTACTAATGAGTACATGCGTTTTTTTCATTTTCCAAGGAAAGTAATGTTTCTACATATTTAGTAACTGGATGCTTAGCTATAATAAAATAAGTATTGTACCCATTCATTGTAAACTTTGACCGGTCAGTGAGTATAGATGCAATATAGGTACTACTTATACAACCTATACCCTAAATGTAATTGGTAGGTATGTACATAATTATCTATCTTGTAGCTATAAGATACCTAACTATAACATTTATCTTATTATTCGGTACGTACCTATCTAAACTTTCGGATATCCTAGGTAGGTGTGTACCTAAGAACATCGTAATGTTTGTTTACTTATATTACATACCTACATAAAACCAGTCATTGGGTATCGTTCGTTAGGGTAGGTACTTACCTAAACTTTGATTATTTACTAGGTATATATAATATTATGTTCATAAGATGAATAGGATTAGGTACCTACCTTGGAATTTTAACTACAATTATTATATAATACAAATTATACAAGCCCAAACACAAGGTAGTTACTATAAACCGTTGATGAGTTCCCTTAACAATTACAGTTCTTCATCATCAGACCCTCAATGATAGTCCTACTCCATCTAGGTGTAAAGTTCTCATCAATACAAATCAATCAAGCCCAAACACAAGGTAGTTAATATAAACCGTTGAGGAGTTCCTTTGACTGTCTGTCGGCTCCATCATCAGGTCGACTCCAGACCCTTTTCAAATTGTACATACATACTTACATAACTTCACGCCTGTCTCCCACGGTGGGTTTTTTCATCACCTATCATTACCTGACATTCTGTTATCACCTCATTTCTTTCTATCACCAACACTTTCGTCTTGTTCACATTTACTTTCATACCTTTCCTTTCAAATGCATCATTCATAGCAGTGATCATTTGTTGTAATTCTTGGGCCGACGAGGCAACAAGCACTGGTCGTCGGCATACAACAATGTTTTAATCACTGTGTCATTCATCCTTAATCCAGACTCTCCTACTTTCAGGTCGTTCAAACAGCTGTCCATAAATAGGTTGAACAGCCAAAGAGATGCTACACAGCCTTGCCTAACAACTCGATTAATTTTAAACCACTCTGTGTAGTCCCCATTTATTCAGACAACGGCACTCGAGTCCTTATATAAGGATTTAAGTACCCGAATCAGGTGGCTATCCACCCCATACATGGACAGAGTTGACCACAATTCATCCCTCACCACTCTGTCATAAGCCTTTTCTAGGTCTATAAAGGCACAAAATACCTTTTGGTGCTTTGATAACACTTTCTCTGAAATGAACCGTAACGAAAAGACTTGATCCGTACATTTCTTGATCCCATTCCCTTTCGAAATCCCGCTTGCACATCCCAGATTTTACGCTCAGTTACATCCATCACTCTTTCGATCAATACCTTGGCATACAACTTTCCTACTACGCTTAGGAGGCTTATACCGCGATAATTTTTGCACTCCTGCTGTGATCCTTTTCCTTTATACAGTGGCACAATTACGGCCTTGGCCCAGACTCCAGGGACACGACCGCACCGCCAATACTTATTAAAAATTAGATACACCAGGCTTGCAATTACACCTCCACCCTCTGTTAGCATTTCAGTAGTTATCCTATCACATCCCGCTGCTTTACCTACTTTCAAACTCTTAATGGCACTCACAATTTCATCCATATTTATTTCTCCCACATTAGCACTTTCATTTTCATCGTTTACTTCCTCTTCTTTCAAATCACTCCTTTCAAATAAATTCTCGAAGTATTCCTTCCACTGCTTTAAAACATCCTTACTTTCTTCAATGACACTCATTTATATCCCTTATCGTACTTACTTTCGAGTCCCCCACTTTGCCTCTGGCCTTTCTAACTAAATGCCAGAATAGTTTAGCGTTGGCTCGAAAGTTCCGCGAAAAATTCCTTTCAAACTTTTCCTTGCATTCATTTTTCTTCTTGTTAACTACCGCTTTTGCTCTCTTTTTGAGACTAATGTACTTTTCTATCATACTTTCTAGCACTCTTCTATTTGCCTTTGAGGCTAATAAGTCGAGCCATGCTTTCTTCTTTTGCTCTATCACCTCTTTTACTTCATCATCCCACCATTCATTCCTCTTGCTTCCAGTGTTATTTTTCTTGCTTACCCCACATACTTGAGTAGCTACTGCGATCACTCCATCCTTAAATTCCTTCCAAAATTCTTCTATATTCCTTTCGTAACCTTTCATTAGCTCCCTAAACCTTTCATTTAATAGTTTCCTGTACTGGTCCCTAGCTGCCTCTTCTCTCAACCGTTCAACTCTCACTCTCTCGGTTCCAAGCAACCTTACCCGTGGCCGATGTCTCCACTTCATTGCCAGTCCAGCTATTCTAGTAATTACTAGGAAGTGGTCGCTTCCGACATTCGTGCCACGGTAAACCCTTGTATCCTTCAGTTTTGTCCTCAGGCGTTCATCAACAATCACAAAATCAATCGTACTTCTTTCTGTATGCCTCTGCCATGTATACATATGTATCTTCTTGTGACCAAATGTTGTGTTGGTCACAAAAAGTTCCTTTTCTACACATATATCCAGAAGACATACACCATTCTCGTTCACTCGTTCGTCTCCAAATCGCCCTAATACTCTATCGTACCCATCGCGTGCCACTCCAACCCATCCATTAAAATCTCCAAGCATAATTATTCTTTCATTCTCTTTACATTCATTAAGAACATCTCTCAAGTTATCCCAGAATACTTCCCTCACCCCAATTGGCTTTGAGATGTCCGGGGCATAAGCACAGACGACAAATAATTTGGTCAAGCCAATTTTAAGGCGGATCTAAAGTATCCTGGGACTCACACATTTATACTCTTTCACACATTCATTCATCCTTTCAGATAGTATGACCCCCACGCCCTGGCTGCCTCTCTGGGAACTTGCAACACCAGACCAGTAAGCAATATATTGGCCATGTGTGGTAGTCATACAACCCTTTCTTTTCGTCTCGCTCATCCCTAACAAATCAATCTTTCTTGTATTCATCATCTCACATATTTCTAACATCTTGCCTTCTACGCCTCCACACACATTCAGTGTAGCAAAAAGGCAATCCTCAGCCCGCTTTCTGCCTACTCACGGGGAGACAAAACGTGACGTGTGGCAGAGCACGTCGCCGTTGGGAATTTGCCAAGATACGACGGGGCTGCCTGAGCAATCATGCTCAGGGAGGGATTCTCCAGCGGAGCTGGTACCCTCCTGGGGTAGAGTTTAAAAATCCTAATTGAATAACAATACACATATTACACGCCCCTACAATTTTCGAAAGTTCTCCTCGGTTTTCCTAGGCTTCTATTATCAGATCCTGACCTCAATGAAAAGGACCATCTCGGGAGTATACCCTTTGAATCAAAACAAGAATTCTGGAAATCCGCGCCCGACGAGGTAGAAATAAAAAAACTTTAGGCATTTAACCAATTTTTGACAAAAATGTCGTGAAAATATATACCTATAAGGTAAAAAAAATATTATAACACACTACGTTATAATAAACTATAGTAATGAGCTATAGTGTAATAACATAAAAAGTGTAATAAAATAGTACGCACGCAGCGTCTGTGTGTGAGCGTGTCTACTGGCGTTAGATCGCCGCCGCGTGCCGTACGCGTCGACAACGAGTAGGTAAGATACTAGTACTTAGTACTCGTTACGTGTCAACTAGAAGTATGTTATTATCAGATTACATAAGTAGTAATAAGTACATATACTTACTTATTTCTGTTATTATAAGTTTTCGTGCGTTATTTGACATTGTTAATAATTGTTATCTCAATTCAACTCAGCACACCATAAAATATTATAACGCGAGCCGCATGTGATTGTGTCCAGAGAACAAGCCAAACTAATGCAATGCGATGAAATAGGATAGATGATCTAGCGCGGTCAATATCTCTCTCATACCTTTATTATTCAGGTTAGGATACTGGTACCGAAATATACCGGTTTTCATTTCATACCCAAAAATAGCGGTACCGAAATTAAATTTCGATACCGAAATTAAGCGGTAACCGTTATTTAACGGTATGACGTCATACCGCAATTTAAAGGTATAGTAATTTTTCGGTTATTCAGTCCCTGCATTTAACATAATTCTCATAACAATCGTAAAGACAGTATTCACGACACACATGACTTCCGCATGCGACTTTTCTTGCGTGGAATTAAGAAAGGTTTCTCTTGAGTAGGTTTTAGACTAGTGCGATGTGTATTATTATATTACTTTCTGCAAAATCAACTTCTTAATGATTTTAAATCGGTTCAGTAGTTTAAGTGGCTATTTTGAACAAACAAATGATATCCTCTTTGTACCTTATTTTATTTTATTTTTGATGGTGCATGTAAGTATGTAACGTGCATTGAATGAACGTGTGGCGCAGGTTCGGCGTGGTGTGTGCGTTCGCGACGGAGTCCCAGGTGGAGACGGGCGCGGCCGGCCTGTCGCAGTCGCTGGACGCCGGCATCAACGACACGCAGGAGTTCCTCAACGCCACGCAGGCGCATGCGCGCTGGCTGCTCGTCAACAACTTCAACGAACTGAAAATCAAACTTAATTCTATGCTTTATGGTAACTATACTTATACATAACTAGCCCCCGCCTTTGCTCGCATTTCCGTGGGATAAAGAGTAGCCTCTGTGTTATTCCAGACTATAATCTACCCTTGTTCCAAATTTAATCTCTATCCCTTCAGCCGTTTTGACGTGATGGAGTAACAAACAAACATACAAACTTCCAGATTTCTAATATTAGAGTAGGATGTACCAGTTTGAGCTTTACCTCGGTATTAATAATTTATCATAATGACATCGATTATCAATTTCCTTGACATAAATTCGTAAGTGTATACACTTAGTGCATTCCATCCAATGATACTTGAAGAAATTAAAGAGTTTCTGAAATACATGCTCTGTTTTGCTCGATAATAGCTCGACCGAATGATACCACGTCCTCACAGAAAACCGGCGTAATACAACGATCGTGTTGTGTTTCGTCGTATGAAGTTCTTCACAATTCCCTCATCAAAAATCCCCAGTTCCTAAAAGGCTGGCAACGCTCTTATAACGCCTCTAGTGTTACGAGTGTCCATTGCGGCGCCCATTGCTTACCATCAGGTCATTCGTGTGCTGCCTTATGCCATAAGCAAGTATAGGGAAATAAGTGGTTGATTTGTACGCGTCACAGGTATCGGCGTGACGGCGTCAGTGAAACTGGGTGAGTTCTCCCGCGCGGTGTCGGTGACGACGCTCAACAAGATGGTGCAGCAACTGGACGAGGTGCAGGCCAACCTACGCACCGTCCATGTCCTCACCGCACAACTACGGCTCAAGGCGGACCATCTCAACACAGGTACACACGCACACACGACTCAAGGCGGACCAAGGTCCAGGTTTACCAGAGAATGCTACTATTCAGTCTCTGTGAAATGTGTAGTCCCTTAAACAGCTCTTGCGAGACCCATGGGAACGATAGGTGACTAGGTATATGTCTCTGGTTACGCACTAAAATTATTCTCATTTTACTCAATCAATTAGTTTTGCTTATACATAATGACTTTCCTGTTTGTCTGACTAATTTATAAGAAGTGAGTGACCTAGTTGACGTAAAATTAATTATGACCTCGTTCAGATCATTCAGATCATCCACTATCTATCTTTACAATATTCATTTAAAACTAATTTTTTACGTTACTTTTGGCTAAAACGGGAAATAATCAAAACTTTAATTATTGTATGTTATAATGTTTGTGCTTTGTGCCAACCAAAACAGGACAATTATATAAAAAAAACATATTAATTCATTTGTATAGTTTTCCTCTACTCGTATCTGAAGTGGAATTGAAACTGGTAAAACCCCATGGCCTGTTTTGAAGAGGAATTACCATTTGAAGTGATTTAAAAGATATTGTTAGTGTTATTATTGTGTTATATTATATATAATATATGGAATTATCTGGATCTGGCTGCGGTGGCAATATAGAATGTTTCACTGAACCACACGTTACCTACATAATTATACCATATTTCGTTATCCGTCTCGTTTGCGAACAATTTCTGAAACCATAATTATATTGTGTAGGATGATACTCAGATATTTTAACTAAATTCGTCATTTCAACACGATCCCATCGTTGTTCCGTTAAACGATTGTAATCTACTACATGTCGAACATTGGTCGATTCGTCAAGTTAATTAATGAGATAGACTTATAAAAAGTATTCATGTATAATGTATGTTATGATAATATATTATTTTAATTCAATTAATCTGATTAGAGTTTGAGGAAAGTCAATCATTCTTTTGTCATTATGTACGAGATTTCCTTTCTTTGCCATTTACGCAGTATCATAGTGACGCAATTGTGACGTCATTATATTAGGAGAATACCAAACTTGTCAAAATCAGTAGTCACACATGAATGTTACACAATTTTGCAAGTATTGTAATCAAGAGACTGGATAAATCAGCTAGAGTAGAGACATTGGGAGTAGTGGCTGACTTTACGCGTGTGTCTGTACCAGGTCTCCGCAAGGTGAAGAACCAGTTGCTGCAGACCCTGGCCAAGTGCGACCAGCCCAAGTGCCGCGCCCTGCAGGACAAGTACAAGATCGGACAGCTCGACACCGAGATACAGTACAGCCAGGTACCCTACATGCAGTGTCCACATGTCTCATGTCTTTGTTTCCACTGTCCGCATATGAACTATATCCCTGCCATGTTTCACGCTTACTGGGACAGATGCTCGACAAATATTTTCCTACTGTAAGTACTTGTTATGATTATTGTAAGAGGCTGTCTTTGTGTTGTTTCATAAAGCTATGATATTATGTTTATAAATAGGTGGTTAAGTCATTTTCTTATTATTTAGAAAGTACCTGACTGTTATCAGTGATGATAATAAGGATTGTTGCTCAGTCGAATTATACGTGATTCAAGTGTATTAAAATTAAAGTATTCTTTGCGATCATAATAAAATTATTGTGAAACACATTCAGGATAATTATGTCAAAATTTAGGGTTTTAGTTAGGTATAACAAAAACATATAAACAACATAAAATTAACTATGAACCAATATGGTGTTTATACGTATCTAAAGAATGGTGGTGATCAGAAAATAAAAGAATGGTTTTTATAACTTGGTAACAAATCGATTTGAATTATAGTAGCATGAGGTAGTATTACATCTTTTTATTTTTGAGTATTGATGGTAATTGGTAAGTCTAGTTGTTAATGTTATTGATGGAGTTAGAGTTATATTCAGAAGTATCCAGTGTAGTAACGGGCACACGTGACGTGACAGATGCCGGACGTGACGGAGCTGCTGGGCAACGTGACGGCGCTGCTGGACAGCGACATCAAGGGCGAGGTGGCGGCCGGCCAGCAGGTGTTCAGCGACATCCAGCGCGGCATCCAGCGCTCCGTGGACGAGCACGTGCCCGACGTGGCCGAGGGCATCGAGGCGCTGGGCCGCCAGCTGGGCGCCGTGGCCGACGACATCACGTGGCTGGCCGGCAACGCCAGCGCGCGCCTGGACGCCGCGCGCGCGCCCGCCGCCGCGCCCGCGCGCCTGCACGCGCGCTGGGGGCCCC